TAAAAGGTTTGATGTGAAAAATAGTGACAAATAACTTTTGTTCACATTTCTATGTCAAAGACAAAGAAGGAAAATTTTAGTAATATTCATATTATTCAAACCTTCAAACAAAGGTTTATAACTTGAATTTTTTTTTTTTATTAGAATTCTTCTTCGTGTTCATTCTCTTCACATTATTTAATCTTCTTCAGTGAATTCTTTCTTTCTAGATCATATCAATTTAGATAACAATTAAATGTAAACTTTATAATCAAATAGCAAAACAAAACAAAAATTCAAAAATGTGCGTGATGTCTTAACTTTGTATAATATATAAGGAATTTTTTTTATGGTTTAATATAAGTGTGTATAAATAAAATGAAATGTGATGGCTAAAATTATTTAGAGTATATTTAAAATTTAATTACGTGTCTAAAATACGCACGGAATTGTGCTAGTAGTGGAGGTGGGAATAATGTTTAGGGTAGTGTGGATATGAAATAAATTTGGGCTTTTAGTTGGGTTAGGTATTGAGGTTGGACGAAATCATATTAGATTTAAAACCTCCACAGTGGGGAATAATTTCATTTCACCTACAAAACTCAGTTCTAATTTTCAGTGATTAATTTCTTGTTGGGGAATTAATTGACTAGAAAACTTAGACTCATATGTCAGACTATAATTACTAATATTTTTAAAATGAGATAGGTTATCGAACCAATTAAAACATGAGATTAAAGATAAATATTTAATTAAGATTTAACTCAATCTAAAAAAATAATATTTTTATAATATAATATAGTAGTAATTTTTCATTATGCTCAAGTGAGATGAAAACTTTTCATATACATGGATGTGATAATGATAAAAATATATAAAATCTTCCTTAAGAAAAATCAAAATCAAAATTTTTAACAAGTTATTTGTTTTTATCATAATTTTCCTTAAGAGAAAATTTATTTATGTGAATTATTTTACTACATTGTTTTTTATTTATTTTTATTTTTAGTGTTAATTCAGTTTTTTTTAAATGAATCAATATCATCTTTTCGTTCAATGTCATTAAATTTTATAAAAAATATTAAATTAATATAATCATATTATTAACATGACACACTCGTTAGTAGAAAATCGATACAAGGATCGAAAGACAAAAGAGAAAAATCGAAGATCGTATGAGTAGTGGGGAGATACCCGGTGACCACTAGTATGAACGCGTAGATCGAAAGTGGGAATCGAAAATCGAGAAAAGAAGGGGGAATCGATAAAGGTAGTGATAAAATAAGTCCAGGGAAATCGTATCGAGAATTGGAATCGAGAATTGGAATCGAGAATCGAAAGAATTACAGGAAATTCGAGGATCGTGGGGAAGAAAAATCGATGAAAGGTATTGAGTATGAAGTCAAATGGAAAGCCAGAAAGTTTTAAATACTCGATGGATGAGGTCAAGATCAAAGGAACGGTTATCACACACATAGAACGTGGGAAACAGTTTTCTCAAAGCCGCAGCTAAGATAAAAAGAAACAGATAGCTAACGTAATGCACATAGAACATGGTAGCAGTTTTTAAACTGCTCTTAGGAAGTTACGTTGAAGCAGGACTTATAAATAGAATGAAACATGAAGAAGAAAGGGAAATTGACAGAGACAACAGAAGCGCAAGTGAACAATCTACAGGAGAACGACGCATCATGAAGTTTCTAATGCTCTGGATTTCCGTTTTCGTTGATTATCTTTATCGCTTTCTCTATTTTCCCTGGTAATTTACTTTCATTGTAGTTTACGTTTGTCAAAACTTTAAGTTGTATCTTTTCGATTCCCTGTCGTTTACTTTTATGCAAGTTAAGGTTATGCGTTTAAGATCCTTGCTATTTACATTTCTGCAATTTTGATTTCCTGTTATTTACATTTCTGCAATTTCGATTTCCTGCTATTTAAGTTTCTGCAATTTCGATTTTTTTCTCTTTTACACTTAATGTAAGTTTGAGGTTTCTGCACTTTACGCTTTTCTGCAATTTAATATTCTGCACTATCTTTCGATTCGACATTTTTACTGTTTTCTTTACTTCGCGTCTCTTAATGAAAAAATACCAAAAACAGTACTTTCGATTTGCATACTAAGTTGTGTTGTTTACATTTTGAAACCGTGGGATTTTCGATTCTCATGCATTTTTCGATTGAAAACCGTTTGCTAGCCTAAATAAAAAGAATCTACATGGTTAAATTTTGGTTAGAACCTAAGTCTCGATTTAATCGAAATCGATCAAGTTTTGACCAGAAACACACATAATCGTTTTTATTCATGCAATTTATGTGACATTGACATGATACATATTTGTTAAGATGACATTATTAATAAAATAGTAGATATATTTATACAAAATACTATAATAAAAATATCAATATCACGCGACCAAGATCACCTTAACGTCATATTTCACTATAATAATAAATAGTTTAATAGTATTTTAATGTAAAAGTTCCTTCAACAAAGCTTTATTGTGATTAGGAAGCTAATAAATGTAAAATATAAAGATGATTTTGTAGTACAACTTTTTTAAAATAGGGTGAATCAATTGATTATGATAGATACTAAGTTAGACTATGAACTACTTACATTAAGAGATATTAATTGTATCTTTTAACAACTTTATTTTTAATGAAAATATAACTTTTAATAATCGTCAACAATATTTTTTTAAATCAAGAAATTAAGAAGAAGGAAAATAGTAAAAGTAACTCTTCCACTCAAATGATGCTTGCTATAATTAAATATTCAGAATAAGTTCTCGTTTCTTGTTCAATTAACTTTTGTATTTTTTTCATAAAGAGTTAAAATAAAATATATGTTTAGCAACACTAGAATTTTTATTTCCTATGCAAATATCCAATTGTGAAGAGTTGGAGCATCAATTTGTAATATTATTCGACCACATGCATGATCTAATAATAATGATTCTTTGACATTTATTAACCTTGTTTGTGTATGTATTACTTTTAAAATATTTATTGTCTTCATGTGACTTTTTTCTGTAAATTTCGTATAAAATATTTATCGATTATGTAATTAAAAAGTGACAGAAGATTAATAAAAAGAATATTATATGGTGTCCTTGGATTTATTTATTCAACTCTTAAATAAAATATAAAAAGAAATTATAATTTACACCTAAATACCACGTTCACATGCTCTGAAAACGTTCACTTCCTTGTAACCTGACGTTACGGCTACGTCAGTCAAACAGTCAAGCACGTGACGTTAGGGCTACGACAGTCAAACAGTCAAATACGTGACGTTAGGGCTACGACAATCAATACACTTAAATACGATTTATTTGCATTTCTTAACTATGGATCTTGTTTCATCCTAATTTTTTCTTAAAAATTTTTCATCTTATTGTTATAATTCATTTTATCAATATTTATGCTTAATAATATCTATATCAAGATAATTGATGTCATTAATATAAAATAATTGATATATCATGAATAAATTCAGTAACTAGGTTATATATATATTGAACAGATACATACTTTTAGACAAGAAAAATCAATATATAAAAATTAATTATCAGTAAATATATCATATAAAATACTTATTAACATGTTAAAAATTATTAATTAAATTTAAAATTTAAAAATGAATTTATTTCTTCATCTATCTCCTAAACATTATCTCATAAACAATAAAATATATTAAAAATATATTTTCAATTGATATAATTTGGCTTAAATTTAAATTCTGTAAATAAATCTTCTCCATCGCAAAGTGATTATTACATTTAATAGACGTAGATATTAAGAAAATATTATTATAAAAAACATATATAGAAGGTGAATTAGCAACAACCAAAACTGTATAGGGTGTTTCAAATATCCAGTTATTTAGTATATTTACTTTAAAATAAGAAATACCAAGAAACGTTTTTCTTGCAAATTCCTATCTATTGCTGCTGAAAAGGATTTTGTCATGCACTTCTTCAAACACATTTTGTGCTGCCAAATGGAAGGAAACCATGACTCAAATGCACGGCTATGATTTTCTACTCAACGTTCAACCGTTGAAAGAGCATTTATGAATGTTTTTTTTTCTAACACAAAAAGTTAATAATAATAATTGATATGAATTATTTTATTTATAATATTTTAATTTGTAATGTTATTTTTATTAATAATAATATTATTAATAATAATATTTATTATTAATAATGATAGTTATAATATAAAAATAATAATTATAATTATTTAGTTAATAGCTAATAAATTTATTAATAATAAGTATTAATTATTTTATTTATAATATTTTTATCTTTAATATTATTTTTATTAATAATTTTTATAATTAATTAATTAAATTATTATAAATAAAAATATATTATTAAATTATTGTTATTAATTAAATAATTACAATTATTATTTTTATATTATAATTATCATTATTAATAATAAATATTATAATTAATAATATTGTTATTAATAAAAATAAAAAATAATATTAAAGATATAAGTATATAAATAAAAAAATTAATATAAATTATTATTATATTTATTATTTGCTAATATTATTATTATTATTATTATTATAATTAATAATAATGATATTTGTAATAAATAATAAATATTTTATTTATTATTATTTTATTATTAATATTTATAATAAATTTAATATTAAAAGGAATAATAAATGATTATATATATATATATATATATACATATATATGTGAAACAATACTAAACGAAAAACTTTAAAAAAGAAAAAAATTGAAATTATGCTTGATAGTATTATTTTTTTTATAAAGTAGTCCTGTCAAGCAGAACTTACCTATGTAATTTAAAAAAAAATTATTCCTAATCAGTAATTTAGGTTTTAAATTGGATAATTTTAGTGTTATTCCCGAAAAATTGGGTGTCCAAAACTCATTCTTAAAAAAATATGTTAGAAGTAATTTACTAACACTTGTGAAATTGTGATGGATATAAATATCCCTAATGGGAACTAATTATCAAACTTGAAAGCACTGATGGAGGCAATAGTTTTGTACCCAGCACCTCTGATAGGTCACTTGGTCTCCACCATAGAACTATGCAAACTCATACTCACTCACAACCCCTCCCTCTCCATTCACATCCTCATAACCATAGCACCCTATGACACATCCTCCACTTCCCACTACATCTCCACCGTCTCCACCACCCTACCTTCCATCACCTTCCACAACCTCCCCACTTTCCAACTCCCTCCAACCCTTCTCTCCTCCTCACTCAACCACGAAGCCCTCTTGTTCCACCTCCTCCACCACAACCACCCTCACATCCACCAAACCCTCCTTTCCATCTCCAAAACCCACACCATCCAAGCCCTCATCTTAGACATATTTTGCTCCCAATCTATTTCCATTGCTTCACAACTCAATCTCCCTGCCTATATTTTTTGCTCTGCAAGTGCTTCAACCTTCGCCTCTTTTCTTTATCTGCCCACACTCCATCACACCTATGATAAGTGCTTCAAAGAACTCAACTCCTTCCTTGACATCCCCGGTGTCCCACCAATGCCATCGCGGGATATGCCGAAACCTTTGCTTGATCGCAACGATGAGGCCTACCAATACTTCCTAAATTGTGGTCTTGCTGGACCCAAAGCCGCAGGGTTTATTATTAACACATTCGAAGCTCTTGAACCAAGTAGCATCAAAGCAATTTCTGGAGGTTTATGCTTACCAAATTCTCCAACATCGCCCCTTTATTGTTTGGGTCCTATAGTAACCACCACGGACAAAAAGACCACCAGTGACCATGAATGTTTGAGGTGGCTGGACTCACAACCTAGCAAGAGTGTCGTCTTTCTGTGTTTTGGAAGTTTGGGTGTGTTTTCTAAAGAGCAACTGTGTGAAATCGCTATTGGGTTGGAGAAAAGTGCAGTAAGGTTTTTGTGGGTTGTGCGTAAACCCGTTACTGATCAAAAGCATAATCTTGCTTTGGGTTTACAAGAGGACCCGGAGTTGGATTCGTTGCTACCGGAGGGTTTCTTGAATAGGACCAAAGAAAAGGGCTTTGTGGTTAAAAACTGGGTCCCACAAGTAGAGGTGTTGAAGCATGACTCGGTGGGTGGGTTTGTGAGTCACTGTGGGTGGAACTCGGTGCTTGAAGCGGTGTGTGCTGGGGTGCCACTGATTGCGTGGCCACTCTACGCGGAGCAAAGGTTCAACAGGGTGGTGTTGGTAGAGGAAATGGAGGTTGCACTGTGGATGCATGAGTCTGAGTCGGGTTTTGTGGCGGCGACTGAGGTGGAGGAGCGAGTGAATGAGTTGATGAAATCGGGGAGAGGGAAGCGAGTTAGGAACCGAGTCATGGTTCTGAAGTTTGAAGCCAAAGCTTCACTTCTAGAAGATGGGCCTTCACGCGTGGCATTACACAAACTCCTCAACGCATGGAAGAACCAAGTGAACGAAGACAAAGTTCACTTGAATATTATTTAAAAAGAGTTATTACATGTTCCTGCTCAAAAGTTTCAAACTGTAGTGTTTGTCTTAGTTTTTTTTCCACCGTTACTCCTACTATTTTCTTGGCAGTTAATTTTTTATCAAGACTTTCCTATGTTTAATTATCATCGGCCTTTATGAAGTCATTTAAGTAAGATGTCGGATTTTACGCCAAATTTTTGTAAATATATTTGTAAGTTGAGTAAGGGATTAGATTTTAAGCAAGATTTCCGCAGATATATTTGTAAGTAGAGTATCTCGAGCCCGACTCATGAGATCGGTGAGTTATTTGGACATTACATTGTATAATGTGAGTGCTACTATGTAGATGTTATAAATATAATTTACAAATGATCGATTTTTTTACAAGATTATGTAAAATATTTTCAGAAAGTAATAATTTAGATATTTAATTTTTTTTCTTTCTATTATTATTGTATATTTTTTTTCTTTTTTTTTCTTAAACTCTTAACTATATTTAGAAGTATTATAAAAATTCAAAATAATCATGAAAATACTATAATAATTACAAATATAAAAATTATATCATTTTAATTTTTTAAAATATCTTTAACATACATTCCATCTCCATTTAATATTTATATTACAAAACATATATAAATAACCACACTTTAAAATATATTTGATTGATCAATTATTAATATTATAATTATCAAATGGTTCAATAAAAATAATAATTATTTTTTTTGTAAATGAAATTGTTAGTAAATTGTTTGATGAGAAAATATTGTCAATCAATCGTTTTTTATTTAAAGAATGATCACATTTTATTTTTAAACTGATAATCAATATCTATGATATTCTTATCAATGTATTTCATCCATACTATTTGTATTTTCTCTTTTAGTAGGTCCGATTTACCATTTTAGGGGGTGAATGTATATTTTTCTTATTAAAACGTTTATTTATTCTTAATAGAATATTAGGATATGTTTGAGTTTGTTGTTTGAAATTTGAAAATTTGGCGTTGACTGGAAGTCTGTTCTCTTGACCTTTTTGACATTTCTCTCTTTCTTAGTAGTTGTTCCACATATGAACCCTTGATACATCACCTTTACTGGTTCTGTGTGGGATCGCTGGTAAGAATGTCCCTTGCCGCACCAGTAAGTATCCTAAGGAGATCTCATCCCACCTTGGCACTTTAAAACTCAAACTCAAATGGCTATAACAGGATTTTGCCATTGGAAGCTATATTTAACCCTACTTCACATTGGCTAGTATGTGATCACCAAATTTATACTTTTACAGCATTTTCTTTATTGTTTTCATTCTGCTTTTGATTGGTTTCATTATATAACATAAACATTATATACTCATTCAACTCCTTATGCAAAAAAAAAAAGATTGGTATTGTTAGGATAAAGATATTTGATTAGCTAAATTATAGGTTTGTATAACGGTACAAAATATTGTATAATCAGAATTTATTTATTTAGTCATGATTTGTTGGAGTAAAATACTATAATATCATAGTATTTGTGTACAAAAATAATATGAATAAAAATTATAGAATGAATTCTATGTTTTTCAATTTGGTATCAAAACTTATAATTTTTTTCTTTTTCTTTCTAAATCCTTGTAGATTTTAACTGGAGAGATGACAAAAAAACTAATTCTAATGGTTGTTCAATCTGAATGTGTCTTCAACGTAGGCATCATCCAAAATGAATATAATTATGACGTATGGTCACAACTAATGGAGATGCACATTGCAGAAAGGGAAAAATTGTCTTACATTCGTGGGAAGGTGAAGCCTCCAACAGAGAACGATGAGGGATATGAAAAATGGTATGCTAAAAACCAAAAAGTGAAAAGATGGCTATTGATGTCCATGAAGCTAGAAATCATGAAAATGTATCTTCGCTTACCCATTGCCCTCGATATTTGGAATGTTTTGTCAAAGATATTTTATGATAGAAGTGATGAGTTACAGGTGTTTGCCCTGAATCAAAGGGCATTCACTGCAAAACAAAATAATAGAACCTTAATTGAATATTATGGGGAGTTGGTTGAGATTTTTAGGGAATTGGACCATCGTGACAAAGTAGTCATGAAAGACCCTGATGATGTGAAGTCATATTAGAAGTCCATTGAAAGATTAAGGATGCATATATTCCTTGCTGGACTGGATGATGATTTTGAGCAAGTTCGTGGAGAAATCTTACGCAAGGAAGTGACACCTAATTTAGAAGAATGTTATGCATTAATCCGGAGAGAGACAGTCCGGCGAACAACGTTGAAAATAGAAGATATGATTTCTGATTCCACAGCTATGATGACAAAGAAGCAGCCTGCAAATCATCACATCAAATCGAAGCAATCAAACTATTTTGAAAAAGGTAACTACAAGTGTACTCAATTAAGAAGGATGGACACACCAATGAACGATGCTATGAAATCATAGGATACCCCGAATGGTGGGATCATGGTCGACCATCGAAGAAGAATTCAAAAAGAAATCCAATTACTGTTGCTGTAACTGTCATTGACAAAGAGAACGACAAAGGCATGATGCTTGCTACAATCGCAAGTAGTGATGATTCCAATGGTAAGACTTTAATAAGCACATCAACCGTTTTGAATAATGTATGGAGAATTGACTTTGCATGTTCTGATCATGTGACTTTTGATGTTAGACAGATTAAAAATCTTAAACCTTCCTCACAAAAAAGTATTTCCACAGTCAATGGTAGTAAATCCACTATTATTGGAGAAGAATCTGTATCTATTTCAAACAATTTGAATCTTGATACTGTCCTTGTTGTTCCTTCTCTTAAATATAACCTATTGTTAGTCTCGCAAATAACCAAAGCTCTTTTATGTGTTATAATTTTTTGGTCTGACTCCTGTGTTTTTAAGGACATTCAAATGAGGAAGACGATTGGTTGTGGTATTAGGCGAGGAAGGTTGTATTACCTGGACCTGACAGAAAATGATTCAAAGAGACTTGGTCAAGTGCTAGAAATAAATGGGTCTCAAGAAGTAAGAAAATACGATGATATTTGGTTATGGCATAAGCGTTTAGGACATGCATATTTTGGTTATATAAAGAAATTATTTTCAAATGTATTTGACCAAGTAGACACTTCAACTTTTTATTGTGATGTTTGTGAGCTTGCAAAGAGTCATAGAACATATTTTCCTTTAATTTCAAATAAAAGTTATCTTCCTTTTACGATCATTCACTCTGATGTATGGGGTCCATCTAAGGTTACAACGTTGGGTGGCTCAACGTGGTTTGTAACGTTTATTGATGATTGTACTCGAATGACTTGATTATGTTTGATGAAGTCTAAAAGTGAAGTTGGAGGACTATTTCAGAAATTCTGCAAAATTATTGAGACCCAGTACAAAGTACAAATTCAGGTACTGCGTAGTGACAATAGAGGAGAATATATGCAATCAGAACTTCAACATTTTTTAGTAGCAAAAGGAATTGTTCATCAGAGATCTTGTTTAAATACTCCACAACAGAATGGGGTGACAGAACGAAAGAACCGTCATCTATTGGAGGTGGTCCGAGCTACATTGATTGGAACTCACATGCCAATAATATATTGGAGAGAAGCTCTCACATATGCAGTATACACTATCAACTGAATACCGTCCAGGTCTCTTGAGTATAAAAAACCTTTTCAATCACTTACAGATGCAGTAGTAAGTCCTAAAATTGCTGAACTAACACATAAAGTTTTTGGTTATGTTGTTTATGTTCACTTACACAAGCATAAGAGAAGAAAGTTGTCTCCTAGAGCTGAGAGGTGTGTGTTCCTTGGCTATGTGGATCACCAGAAAGGATATCGGTGCTACAATCCACAAATCAAGCAAATGTTTACTATTATAGGTGTAGTTTTTCATGAAACCTTGATATATTTTTCCCCCGAGTCTGAAATTCAGGGGTAGAATTATGATGAAGTTCAGACTTTTGTTCCTCAAGAAATTGATATTGAGGTCAAATTGAAGAAAGAAAGTTACAAAGTTGTATCAGGAGATGATGAAAGTATGCAACAATGTTATGATCAACAACCTGTTGATGCTGATGATATACCACACCAATCGTCCCCTCAAGAATCTAATACAGAAAAAACAATTCTGCCAAATCGTGTCACTAGAGGTATCCCTAAGCCTACTTATGATCTTGACCTCACCAATAAGACAAGATACCCTATGAGTAATTATGTTTGTAACCAGAATTTGTCTAACTCAAATATCGCATTTATAAGTCAATTATCTACTGTATCTATTCCTAACAGTATGCAGGAAGTTTTAGTTGACTCCAGGTGGAAGGATGTTATGAATGAGGAGATGAGATCCTTGCAAAGAAATAAAACATGGGAATTAGTAGATTGTCCAGTTGGAAAGAAACCAGTAGGATGCTGATGGGTGTATACTGTGAAATTTAATGAAGATGGCACAATTAAGAGATTCAAAGCTAGATTAATGGCAAAGGGTTACACATAAGCATATGGAATAGATTACACTAAAAAGTTTGCTCTCATAGCCAAAATTAGTACAGTTCGAGTATTGTTATCTCTAGTTGTAAACCTTGATTGGTCCTTACAATAATTTGACATAAAAAATGTCTTCTTACACGGGGAATTCTCTGAAGAAGTTTATATGGAGCTACCAGAAGGATGTGAGATCCTGAATACACATAACAAGAAGGTATGCAAGTTGAAGAAGTCATTCTATAGACTAAAACAATCATCACGAGCATGGTTTGGTAGATTCACCAAGTCAATACTTGCTTTTGGATATCAACAGAGCTACCAAGATCATACCTTATTTCTAAAGAAAAATGAAGGAAAGATTATAATTCATATTATCTATGTTGATGACATGATAGTTATGGGAAACGATCTAGAAGAACGCAAGACATTAAAAGAGTACTTGGCAAAGAAATTTGAGATAAAAGATCTTGGTCCTTTGAAATATTTTCTTGGAATTGAGGTCTCAAGATCAAAGTCAGGTATTTT